CAAAAGATGGAAAAATGACCAAAACCACATGCATGACTTACAAATCTCATCTAACATCTAGATACAAAAGGTATTATGCTCAAGGGACCTTGGTGAGTTATAAAGTTGCAAAATTTATCTCATTCAACCATTCAAATCTCAAATATGAATCAAAACACGCAAATAATCCTAGATCTATAAGAAAGGAACCAAAAAGATCAAGTCTTGATGACTTACAAAGGTCCAGAAGATGCTAACAACGGTGGATATGAGTTTCTTGATGATTTCTAGCACTAGAGCTTCTTTTTCTTTTTTTCAAAGATCACAAAAACACACAAAATGAGTTCAAAAGCTTGAAGGGGGGCTAGAGTTTAGACAAGAACACTTTAGAGGTGATGGAGGTTGCTAAATGAGGCAACCCTAAGATTTAGTGCATTTAAATAGGGCACCAATCCCAAATTCTAGGGTTTTGAACCCCAACCGCCACCACGTCGTGGCCAAGAACTTGCCACATCGTGGTGCATCACGAATGCGCGTTTTCTGAACGAAGCTGCCACGTCGTGGTCACTCAATCACCACATCGTGGCCAAGCCAAAACCCCAAAAACTTAGATCGGAAGAATCATACCTGGGAACGGGGTGTTATAGTTTTCCTTTGCCCTTATTTCTTACTGAAATCAAACGTTGCAAAAATGTACTTATTTCAATAAGCCTTTCTTTGGAATGATTTATTAATCACACGGAACCCAGGAATTGTCACATGCTTACGGCCACATATGTGTTTATTCGATCAAATATTAACCTACTTTTGGGTAGGTTAATACTTACATTAATAAACACTTAAACTATAACATTTAAGTTCTTCATAAAATATTTTTCACAAAATAGATCAGTTGGTGATATAATATGTCAATCAATTTACCAAAAAAAATAAATACCATCATAACTAAAATTATTGACAACCTAATATTTATAAATTTGTAATTGACACAATAATAAGGAAAATTTCAAAATCTTTGAACATAACTATACACACTAAAACATATCCCGAAATTACAGAAACCATGTGTAATATGGATAAAAGTAAATAAGGTGGTCATATATTTAATAAACATTATCGTTTAAGGGCCATAGATCTTTGCTGGTAAAAAAATGTAGGAAGACAACAATTTTACTACATGGAATAGTCTAATCGACTTGAAAAAATAATAACTAAATAAACAAATTAACATTTTCATTAGGTCAGACATGTGAGGTTCATTTGAGTTTTTATCACAACACTCTATGTAAACATAATGTAAATTGATTCTTGTTGTCAATATATGATAGCTTCATTTTATTTACTTCTTTTTATAGTTTATTTTAGCATATTTCATTCACAATTTAGATAATTTCCATGCATATTTTCCTTTTTGTTATTTTATGACCACTTTCGGGTTCTTTCGAGTTTTGTGAGCTTAATTACAGATTTTAAGGAGACTAGCGGAGCGGGATCTTTTGGAAAGCAATTGGACTTGGAGGACAACGAGGATTTTAGGCTTGATGGCTATAGAGGTGATGCATGGAGTGGGATTGTCAATTATTTGAAGGGTTGGAAGAATTAAACTTTAAATTTGAAAGCCACGGGAGAATTCTTGAGTGTGCAAGATCGATGTTTAGGAATTTGCGGAAGTTTTGAGTGATGTGGAGAGACAAATTGGGCTCAAATTGAAGAAATATTGAAGAGAATTGGGTTAGAAGCAGATTGGATTCGAACTGGGCCAATGGATTAGCTGTGGGGGCCCAAGACTTGAAGAAGCCCAAAAATTTCCGTCGAAGTCACGCGGCCCGCGTAAGATTCCCCGCGGCCCGCGTGGATTCCTGACAAGGGCAATTTCGGGATTTTACTTAGAGCTCTATATTGGGAAGGTTGGTGTGCCTCTTTAGCATCATCTTGGAGGTCCGATTTTGATACTTTCTCTCTGGAGTTTGGAGCATTTTTGAAGGCCAAGAACCCTCAAGAACTTCACCATTTCATCTCTTAATTCTTGCTAAATGTTTGGTACAATCTTAACTAACTTTGTTTCCTTGAGTTTAGTCATGCTTGGTTAAACTAATCTTGGTTGACTTTTGTTGAATCCTTTGAACTTTTGTTGAATATTGAAGAATCCATGAATTTGTGTTTGAATCTTTATGAAAATGTTTTGTGTTTTAACATCTTATCATTACTTGCATGTTTTTATTCATGAGTTTAAATGTGTTTGTGGTGATTAGTTGGCTAATTTCTTGATTAAGTAAAGGATCTTCAAATTAGCAAGCAACAAGTGATTCTTGTGTTAGTTTTACTTCACACAATCATAAAAACATTTTCTCCAACATGGTGGTGAAAACATTTGACCCCTCTTGGATTTGGTGACTTTTTTGGTTCTTAATGCTAGTTGACTTTCACTAATTACATGCTTAATGGAATTAGTGACTTTAACTAAGGAAATTGTTATGAGCTTCTCTAACCATTTCAACAATTAAGAAAAGTCTAGGTAATCTCAAGCTCCTTGGATTACTATAGCCAAATTAAGGGTTTAAAACAAGTATTGCACCATTTGATTCTAATGATATGTTCATCAAAAGTCAAAGTGAGGAACCTTAAGTCAACCATCCTTCTCTTATTGATTTTACATCAAACTCTTATTTTTGTTGAAATTGTCTATTTAAATCTTAGTTAATTCTAGTTTGTTTCAAGTATTTCAAAACACCAAAACCCCCAGTTTTAATTTATTGTCATTTTCCAAGTATTTTTACAAAGAGATTTTTCATAGAGTTATTAAATTGAACCAATCCCCGTGGATTCGATCCCTTTACCACTATACACTATTTTAGTGTGTAATAATTAGGGTTATTAATTTTGTTGGCCTCGACAACCACCAATATACAAACCGTAAAATATTAAACATGCAACCTTAGATATAAAAATATCTAAATCAAAGATCATAATTATAAGTTAAACCTCAAAAATTCAACATATAATATCAACCTAGGCAAAAGTGTGGTTATACTTTGATACAATATTATTTGTCCTTTATTAAGAGTTAAACACGCAAATCTCTATCTATTAAATGTTAATAAAATTTGATAGGTGACATTGTGTAGTCGCTATCTCAATTAGGAAAAAACATGTCGATAAACTCTTAACAAATAAAAGTTCCGTCTGTCTGTAATAAGAAACTTTGATACAATGATTAATTTCTTTTAATTTCCAATGAAATGTCAAAGAAATATTAAAAAAAAATTGAAGATTTGACAACTCAGTGAAAAGGAAAAAAAAGGGTTGACAACTCATACAAAAACACGCTAACATTGACTTTGGGTACCATAGGCGGACCCCACACGTAGCACGTGTCACTCTTCAAATTTTCTCGTCGAATGTAAATTTAGTGTAAATCCGTCCGAATCTGTCATAGTCGTCACAGAGTCCGATAAATGTAAATTTAGTGTAAATATGTCGGTGACCCTTTAGTAACTGATTTTGTGATGGAAACTGGCATAAAAATGAGTTTTTTTCTAGTGGTTTAACACCTAAAAAATTGTATAATACTTGATTTTTTTCGTACGAAGTGTTAATCAATGTCAACATGCTTTGTCCGCTTATGGGAGATGGGAATTTGACTAGGAAATATGGCAATGTGATAACCATAAAGAAGTGTAGGACGACCTGGTTGCAAGATATGGTAGTAAGTGATCACTTTGGTCTTTTTGTAAACATCATAATTAAATATAACAAACTCCATTTGGATTTTGGTAGGAATGTGTAGTTTCTTCTATAAATTTGGATTGGTCTAATTACATTCCTAAGTTTGATGTAATTGGCATTCCTTACATATTGGTCCAGAAAAATGTTGTTTTTATTAGTCATTTTGTAAAATGTGTAAATAAATCTAAGAAAACCCAAGTTGCATGAATCCAAAAGCTGAGGTTAGATAGAAGGGTCTAGTTTATCACATAATGTCTCCATGGAATGATTCTCATCCCTTCTAGGGTGGTTATGACAACTTTTACCGATTGGTCTAGAAAATGGGGCAATTATATGGTCAGGTGAAATCATTAGAATTTTGTAGAAAAATAATTAGTGCATGTGTTTTAATTGTTCTTCTGGCAAAGAGAATGATGTGGCTTGACTGTACACGCATTTGGAGATTATTATGTTTTGACTTCTACAAACTCTGATTCATGTTTTTGACTTTTCTTTGACGAATGAAACAATTTGATACTTGCATTTTATTATGAAATGGTTTTGGGTCGTTTACTTAAAAAAATTGGTTTAAAAAATTGGATGTTATAGTGTGGTGTTCACCACATAACCGCGGTCACATGCCACCACCATGCAGTGTGCGGGTGGGTACAACTACCGAGCTTGTAATGTGTGATTCTGCCCACAACCATTTCTATGTCATCTTTCACTCACAACTGACGCCAAAGCAAGCAAAAATTAGATGGAGTTCATTTCATAGAAGAACATGGAAAAGAGTTGAAAACAAAGAACAATTAAATGTTTGAAAAAGAGTATTTGTTTTTTTGAGTTTATTAAACTTAATATAGACTCAATAAATCTTATTGTTCACTGAAATTTATGGTTTTTGTCTTTAAAATTAACAATACTTCAAAGTCAATGGCCAAAGTTGAAATTTTGGTAAACATATTTGGTATGTGCTTTATAATTAGACGTGCTCATCTTAATTAGATTGTATTATGTTTCTTTTCTTTTGGCTCGTGCACACACAAACAACGTCGTAGTAAAAAATATTTTAACCCTAATCACCAAATCAATAGTCAATAGGTATATATATATATTATATATATATATATATATATATATATATATATATATATATATATAGGAAGGATCATTTGAGAAGTCATATATTTCTGAGAACCTGAGAACCAAACGATGATTGTTAGATCAAAATAAACGATGGTTAGGATGCTTTATGACATTTTTGTAAATATATGGAAACATAAGGCACGGGGTATGTTTTTTGAAAAAGAATCAGAGCATTTTAGGAATGGAAAAAAGAATAAAATAATTCATACCCGGATTGAATCACGTCAGCCTCTACTATCTCTCTCGGTCTCTTCATCCCGCCTCCCTTTGATCTTCATTCCACCTCCCGCAATGAACACTTCAGCTCGTCGATGGCGAATCGAAGAAACAATACACCGACGGTGTACTACGGTTCGGCAGATCGATGAAATTCCTCACCGATGGGGATTTTATTAAAGAATCGCTACCTAGGGTTTGCGGAGGGTTGGAATCGTTTTCGATATCTAATTTTTTTATTCAATCGTATTGTCGATTTGCCGATCATAAATGCAATCGGAGATGAAGAAAAAGAAACTTGAATGGATTTGATGGTGTCCAGAGTACTGAAATATAAGAAACAATTAAAATTATTGTTTCTTATAACTCAAATTCCTTAAACTTCCAGATCTTGTCGCCATGGGGATCGATGCTCAAGTCTCCATACTAAACCCAACATCAGCCCTACCTATTGCTTTCCAACATGTATCAACGTCCTGATATGATGACTCCATGTGTTGGTCCTCATGCCAGGCCTTTGATCCTAGCAAAATTCAGGATCACTTCGAGGTTTTCATGATGATTCATGGTTGTTGTCAACGCCTAATGGATCTTCAAATAACCAGCTTTCTCAAGGCAATTTTTGGGCCAAGTAAGTGTCTGATTATTTGATTTGTAAATATATAAATATATTTATATATTTATATAATGTTGTGTGAATTTAATAATGTGACAGAAAAGAGAGAGCTGTTGTTGAAGGGAAAGGTGGAAGTGCAAGAGCTGTTGGTGGGTTATGCTCAACTCCAGATGTACAGTCACTTTGGTCATATGAATGAAGAGAAAAAAAAGAGTATGAGGGAGAGGAACAAAAATAGTTGTTGTTTCTTTCTGTTCACAAGAGGAAAATGAAAATCATGATTGATGAAAGCCTCTTTTGTCAGAAAGTTTAGAATACTGCTATTACTACTCTACTACTCTGGATACATTACATTGTATATTCTCTTTATTAGCCAGATTTAATTACATTCCTGCCCCTCATACAAATCAATACAAAATCCATCCATCTATCAACTCTCTTCCAGGTAAATTACACAGGGGATCTTGTTTATCTATATGTAATGGTGTAAATTACACAGGGGATCATGGTTCAAGATGAAATTTTGTGTTTAGGGTTTGTATGTATGTTATTGTTAGAACTTAGAAATAAAAAAGGACAAAAAGTAGCCACTTTCTTTGAAGCTCTTTTACAAAAATAGTTATCTGTTTTGATTTTTTTTCACAAATAACCACCAATTTTGCAAATGGGAGCTGCGACTATTTGCTGTGAAATTGTGTCTCCCATTTAAGGCATTTTTAGACTTTTTCTTTGTTTTTACACCAAGTTTTTGTTTTTAGAAATCTCTGTCAACCTAAAACCATAGGGTTGAATGGAATTGTTTAATGAGATGGAATGCTGAGTTTATGAAATTAGTTAGCATAACCCCGTTTCGTTGATTAAGAATGAAATTACAAAATTTTGCTAAAAACCACTTAAAAAGAGCTACAAGACGTTCAACTTCCCTCTCTAGCCCAAACATGTATTAGCTAATGAATTCTGTAGGATGCACATGCTTTTGTGTCAAATGGTAATATGTTGCTATTTCCCACTGTTTGATAACTTTGGTTCCTGATATAGTCTCCTTTTGACTTTTGTTGTTGTTGTAATGTTGTTATTTGAATCCTTATCCATATCAGTTGTTTGAAGGTTATTCTTGATATTCTGGAAATGCTAAAAAAGCCTGATGTCAATGCAATGCTTCATCAATTTGGATTCCAGGTGTGTAGTCTCAATTAATTTCAGATTTCTTAGTTTTTTTTAATAATTTTTTACAGACAAGTTTTATGTTCTTCTACAGCTGCATTATGAATTGTATTTTAATCCCTTCACATTAATTTGGATTCTAGGTATGTAGTCTCAACTATTATCTTTTTTGTCGTATATAATTTTCATTGTATTAATTTGGATGTGATTCATATATTTACATGTAAATCACATGTGATTCACATATTAATCACATGTAAATCACAAGTGAATTACATATGAATTACGTATATATGCACACATTCATATGTTAATCACATGAAAATCACATGTGATTCACATATTAATTACATTTGATTCACCTGCAAATCACATTTGATTCACATGTAAATCACATGTGATTCACATGTAAATCACGAGTGAAACACATATGAATTACATGTGATTCACATGTAAATCACATGTAATTCACATATATATCACATGTAAATCATATATGAATTACATGTGATTCACATGTAAATTACAAGTGAATCACATATGTATTACATATGATTCACATGTAAATCACAAGTGAATCACATATGAATTACGTCTATATGCATACATGCATTTTATGTGAGTGTTCTTTGTTAATTACTTTCTAAAATTTTCTTGTGAATTTCACATTTGAATCTTAAAAGATACAATCACATGTGAATATCACATTATATAATCACATGTGAATCTTACATGATATAATCTCATGTGAATCTTACATGATATATACATGTGCATTTTTGTGAGTGTTCTTGCATTAATCATTTTTTTTTTAATTTTCTTGTAGATTTTGAAGAATTTGTGGAAAATATTGAAGAGGTGAAAAGTGATAAATTGAAGAAAATATAAAAATTGTGATATGAAGAAATGATCACATTGTGAATCGCTGTAGTTTTTTTATATTTTATTTTGTATCGAATAAAATACTTGTAGTATTATGTTTATAGATTGATTAATAAAAATGAGATTTTTTATAATTTACTTACGAATATTATAGTATAAGAAATATTCATATATGCATTTGAAAAAATATGCATATATGCATCTAAAACATTGATTTTTTTTTGTTAAAAAAATGAAAGTTTTTTTTTTTAAAATATTCTAGTTTTTTTTTTTAATTTACAGATTTTTAAAAATTTACTTTTTAAAAAAAATACAGTTTTTTTTAAGAAAATTGCAGTTTGTTTTTAAAAAAAATTATAGTTTTTTTTTTTGAAAAAAGTGCAGATTTTTGGAAAAAATACAGTTTTTTTTAAATAAAATTGCAGTTTTTGTTTGAAAAAATTCATTTTTTTTAAAAAATTCATGTTTTCTGAAAAAATTAAAAAATCTCCATTTAAAAAAAAAACAATTTTTTTTTTAAATTTGAAATTTGATTTATTATGTTAATTTTTTAGAACTTTTTATTAATCTTTCTAATAACAAAAATAATTAAACATGAAATAAGATTGGTAAGATGACGATCATGCCTTTAATGAGTTAATTTTGATCTAACGCTCCACCTTTAGTTCTCAGGTTTTCGGGAAATTATGAGTTCTCAACCGATCTCCACCATATATATATATATATATATATATATATATATATATATATCTATATATATATATATATATATATATATATGAGGGAGGATCATTTGAGAACCTATAGTTTCCCGATAACCTGAGAATTAATTTTAGACCTTTAGATCAAAAAAATAGAGGACTTAGATTTCTTATGGCAGTTCTGTAAATAAGTGGTAAAAAAGAGACGCGAGGGTATGTAGATTTTTGGATCCAAGGGTGTTATTGGCATTAAAATATGTCGAATCTATTCATTTCTCCAAAACCAATTTCGCAATTGCATATCACCGATAATTACTCACCTTCTCCCTCTGTCGATTTGTTTCCCCCAAAAGCATCACCGTCCGGAATCCATGCCACCTCCGGCCATCGACTCTTTGTTCTCTAGATTGTCGGCTACAAATCGAAGAGTCAACAAATCTCTAACGCCTTCACAAAACCTCACATATCAGCTTTTTGATGGCCGTTAATGGCGGTCCCTGTAGATGTGAGCTTTTAGATTTGATCAAATTCAGACGAGGATACCTATGTCATAAGCCCTAATCCGCATGTTTGGTTGTTTGATTGTTCGATTTAGGTCAGTGAACTTTTAATTGCACATAATCTATTGTTTCACCATCCCCATATCCAATTAGGGCAATGCAAACACTTTAACTTTTTTCCGATTGCTTAAACTTATAGAACATTGAAAGGGTTCTCACAATTTCTTTGTAACTGCATTGTAACTTTTCTTAATTTCCATGAAGTTCCTAGCCTTTAAGCTTATAATGAATCTGTTCATTTTCAAAAAAAATTACGTGGATCTCACCCAATATCTATATGAATACAGGATATCTATCTCTGCAAGACAGAGGGGACATGCAGACATGACTTTTTTCAGAACTACTGTTAAGGACTGTCTAGATTATGAGCCTGGTCCTATTGGTAGCAGCTTGTCGCCACATCACCACCACCACCACGGCCGCCATCATCATCCTCGTGGGATAAGAACTCATGCAGTCTCCCCATCTCCATCCTCTGGACCAGGTATATAAGTATCTTTCATCTACTTTCTAGACTCAATAACAATCTTATTATTAAAATAAAGATGATTATGCAGGTTGTGGCCTAACATGTTTGGAACCACTGGCTTTGACTCTTATTGGGTCACCTTGTGGTTGTGTGTTACCAATGAAAGTGAGACTGCTTTTACAAGTGTTTGTGTATGTTGTCTTCCCTGTTGTGAACGAGCTAGAGATTGAGATTGCATCAGGCATGTACCTAACACAAAGCAAAGTTGTGATAACAGGTGCCAGTGCACATAGTGAAACCTAGCCTGACACCCTATGTTTTTCTTATATCCCCTTTATTTTCAGGAATCCGTTGGTCTCTCGAACAGAATTGATTGATTGATTAGCTGATATTCGATTTGTTCGTTTAACAACAATAAAGTAAACATCATAAACCTCTACTTTTTTCTTCATTACTCTGATTGTAAAGTTCATTTTATAACCTGTGTACTATTTTAGGAATCTTTTATCAGGAGACACTCTTTCTGCATGCTGGGCTACTATTGGAGTTTTATGTGAGAAGGGGGAAATAAGGACTAGTTTTACAGGGAAACCCTACAACATATGGACTATTGGATGCTTAGATGAAAAAACTGTTTCCCTTTTCTTGTTTGGAAATACCTATCAAAAGAACAGTAAAGAAGAAATTGGCACAACCTTTGCTCTATTCAATTGTGAAGTTCGGAAGAACGCAAAATCGGTACTAGTTTTTACTCTTAATATCATCTTTGTGCAAAAGACGTGAATGCCCTTCTCATCATCATCATTGAAAGTAGAACAAGAAAGGTTGTTTAGTCTTGTTTTGTGTGATAAATGCAACCTTTGTGCTTATATTTGTATTTGAATAGGGATAATAATATAATATCAACCTTGTTGTATCAATTTCTTTTCAGAAATCAGGATTTACTTTGACAGTTTTTTCTGCTCCACAAGTGTTAAAGTTCGAAACTTCTGCTGATTTTGGACAATGCAAAACTTGCAATCAAGTTATCAACAAGTATGTGCTTAGAACCCTTTATGTTCTTGTTATAATTATAGTTTTTCATTTCAAATCTTTTACTCTTGTTTTAACTAACAACTTTATAGTTAGTTTACTTTATAACTTCTTCTCTTAAGTTCTCTAAACTAAGGCTATTTTTTTTTCTTGTGCTGTCTGAACAAATGAGGGCACATATTAAAAACCTAGGACTTAATGGCTGACTTTTTCTATCAAGTCATTCTTTATGTATTAAGTCAAAAAGATATAACAATATATAGTTTACAAAGTTAAGTTGCTCCAATAATCCCACTAAAATAGTGCTTTTTTTGCAAGAATGATTAGAGAAAGTCAATTTTATAAAAAAGATTTGAGAAGAAAAGCTAAAAACCAGTGAAAAGTGTAAAATATTGCTAGCGAGTTTGGAGCTCATAAAATTTGCACATGTGGAGAAAATATAGATGGCACCCACAAATCCCACATACTCACTTTTTTTGGAAAAATGCAAGGAATAAAGTATGTTCTATAGAAGGAATTGAGAAGAAAAGCTATGAATTACATATGATTCACCTGCAATTCACATATGAATTACATGTGATTCACATGTAAATCACATATAATTCACATATTGATTACATGTTGTGACAACCCGAAACTTCTTTCGTCCAAAACGTTAAAAATAAATCAATTCGGAATTTATTTCTGCTCTTGTCAGCTATACCTCGGGTCTAATTAAATACTTCGAACTCAGTACAATCGAAGTTTGGGTCCAAGAATGAGTTTTTCCAAGTCAAAGCGTAGCATCCGGGCCAAACACCCCTTCGAGAGGAGTTTACGGCCGTAAACCCCCCCCCCCCCCCACTCCACCCCTTGGCCGAAAACTCACCCCTATATAAAGGATGAGTGGCCTTCATTTCAAGCTTTAAGGACTCAAAGGACTTTATCTCTCTACAATTTTCGAGTTTTGCTCAAGGATCTTCAAAATGTAAGTGATTCTTCACTTCTATGGTGTTTCAATCCCTTTTCTAGTGATGAATCCATGTTTCATCTCATAAATTTCATCTTTTTCTAGATCTTCTCTCTCACCAAGAACACCAAGAACACACACTAGTTCTTGGTGGCTAAAAACCTCATTCCAAGCCTCTTACAGTAAGTAACTACTCCCTATGCTTGTTATCTACTAGGAATCACTTGTTTTCACTTAGAAATCGACCCGAAAACATGAACACGAAATGGGTTTACGGCCGTAATCCCTTTAATGGCCGTAAACTCCATTTTTGGTCGATTATTGGCCTTTAAGCTCTTACTTGAGCTGGGCACAAGGTTTAGAACACTCCCAAGAGGCTAGAAAGGACCTTGAAACACCGACAATCGCACCTTTCACCAAGTGTTTACGGCCGTAAACACATGGGCCGTAAACCCATGGGCCGTAAACCCATGGACCGCAAACACTTGGGCCGCAAACTCGTGGGCCGTAAACCCTGTTGGGCCGCAAACCCCTGACCGTACACTCCTGATTACGGCCGCAAACTCCCCATCTTCAATCTCGTGTGATTCTAACACTTAGTTTCAAGTGTTTCCTAGTCCCTAAGGTGGTTTCCTTACGTAACAAATAGTGTTATGTCCTCATCTAATACATATATGTGTCACCATATGTTAATAGGATCCGCTTGCGTACGAAACATCAGTTGACACTCAGCATCCACACCGACCTTACGCTCGGGTCTTACGTCAAACTGTGAGTTCATACCCCTACATTTTCCATGTTTTTAATGTTTTCAGGGGGGAATACAAGCTAAACATAAATGCTTTCAATAATATGAAACTTATGAAAATCTCATACTTTAATCCCTTTTGTACTATGATGAGCATAAGGGACGTTTTCACTAAGATTGCATAGTTTTCCGGACACGCTATTCACTACGTTATACATGCAAACTATAATCGGTATAGTTTGGGATTTTCTAAACATAACAAGTACATAAACTTTCACTACTAAACATATGCACTAAGACAGAAATAGTTTACCGTTTACATCATTACTTTATCATGGTATTCACAATTGTAATTATTACTACATACGGTATACATACGGATTTTCACTATGGTAGAACGCTACTACACTACATGTAAACTAGATTGTATGATACTGTGAGGCGCTACTTCAATACTGTACCCTTAGGTGTACAAGGATAAATCCTATCATAGTATAACCAGAGTCTCCTGGAGGGAGAGCGTGAGATTTGTGAATAGATCTATTCGGGACTGATAATCCCACACCTGAACTGCTAGCTACAGTTAGACGGGCACGCCTGGGGTGTACAAATGTCATTTAACTCGACGCCTGAAGAACGTTATAAAGGTCTCTAGTCATATCAAG